ATACCTTTTTACTTTATTTTTCATTGCTTAGATGGGGGGACGAGCTCATAGCCCACCTGGTGTTACGTGGTTACAGAAGCCCATGGACATCTACTATGTAAATGCGCCACCCACCTTGAGATATAAGTTCTAAGGTCTCAAGTATAGTTACAACGGCTGCCCCACCCTTCAAACCGAAACGCACTACTGCTTCACGGCAGAAATAGGCATACTTTTACGAAACAGATACGCACAGCCGAAATAAGATTTTTTTATCCTGCTCAGGATACTGGCGCAAACTAAAACATAAATGGGTTGGCATCGGTCGTATGTACGTACATGTGAAAATATTTAAAATTAACCCTTTTTAAAATTGGTAAAAATTACATTGAAATATTCCGTTAAATGTATAGTTAATGCTTTATACTTATACATTTAAGACGCTTCATAGATATAAGATGCTAATCAAAACATATTAAATTTCTAATGTTTCTTACAAACTCACAAAACAAGACCTAGCTAGCGCAACCTGTGTACCATATCGCTATGAGTTTAACATCTCCCTTTTTTGTCGATGTAATATTTTGATAGATTCGCGTCCGCACATCGTCAAATAGTATCTCTGCACTGGACCATCAGCAAAAACTATTTATGAGAGATTAAACACGAGACTTGGAAATCTATTTTATGTTTTTATAAGTTCGCTAGCATTTACAATATAGACGTCTCGACAATTGTTAACACGCGCGAATAGATTTTCCTTTACTAAATAGATTACTCATACTTTTCAATTAAATATTGGAAAGCCTACGCTTACAAACTTATTTTTTAGTAATATTCAAATTACTGTGTTTATTCGAAAAATAAACAACACTTTTTACAATATAGTCACACCAAAACAAATACCAAAAGTAGTATTGTAAAAACTGAATATCGATTTTTACTGGCGGATGTCCTAAAACTAACTCCTTCCATTTTATTGTACATAATTTGCACATAATAAAGTTCGTTAATAACTGATAAACTAAAAACGACGCACGTACAAAACAATTTGGCAGTTTTTATTTATTATATATAGGTATATTGCACACGGAAAATATTCCTTTATACAACAAAATGTGCTTGCAGTTCGAAGTACTCACTACGGCTACTATAACATTAGCCTGTAATTTGTGGTCACCATTTATCATTACCATGTAATTTCAGTTTTAAGTACACAAAATAAAGATTAAAAATAAACGAACTCATTTCTCTGACTTATGACCTTTTGAGGACAAATGTTGGGACATCGTGTCTTTGAGTAACCGTTTTGTGGTTTAAATAATAATCCCTCAATCTTGGGATTTATAATAAGGGACAGATTACATGATTGTTACCGGCGCGGCGGCGGTGAGTTGTTTGCGAATTCAAAGCGGAGAGGCAGCACAGAGCTGTGAAGGCGATACGGTAATGTCTGTTTTACTTGACCGCGTAAGCGTCAAAGAAGAGCTTTGATTTTAATGTGTGTGCTATGTGGTTATTGATGTATTATGTCACTCGAGGCATCTCAAATGTATTTTTGGGCTTCTGTGTGCTTAGTGCGAGTTTTTTAACGTTCTCGATAGCGTAAAAGTTAACCCAATTTTGTATGCAGTTGGAACAGCGCCCCTAGCGGCAAACCAAGGTAAACGAATCCATTCCATATAAATATGAGATAACTTTTACGCTATCGAGAACGTTAAAAAACTCGCACTAAGCACAGTGAGTAGTTTTTTCGCCTATAATTTTAAATTTGGACTCATATTTTTAGTACATCTTTGTAATTAATAAAAAAAAAGTTAGGATTCGTTGACGTTTCAATATTAGTGTCGTAAATTTTGTAATTCATTTTATCAAAAGAGCGTTCCTATGAAGGAATTAACAATCTTTGAAATATGGAGCTTTTATCTCAACGTGGAGACGATATCCATATTTGAGCAGAGTCCAGAGTGGCCCAGGACCGCTTCATCAAGCGACGAGTAGGTCATATCAATTCTTCACCACTTTTGTTTTCGTTTGAGCGGTAAAATCCTACAGATGTTTTACATAACGGTCCAGCGAGAACCTCAAATACGATTGGTCACGTGCAATCAACTCCGCAATTATTATAAATACCGCTAGGGCTTCGTTTACACACATAACATTCGTAAAATAATGTTGGATGACTTGACTTCGTTAGTAACAATATTTTGACAACGTTAATAGCATAGACGACGGAAAATCTTCGCTAAAACGTGCCGAATTGTAATTATTCCAATTTTCGAAACTTGCGTTTTGTAGCAGTACCTTTCAAACCAGAACGCATTGCATCATGAACTAACCCGGTCTTCTAATAGCGCGCTGTTAATCACCCGCGTAGTAGATAGAGCTAAGAAGAGGAAAGTGTTAGGCTAAGATTCTTATTGCCTCAAACCGTGTCGCGTGGTCATATGCTAGCAATTCGATTTTGCCTTCCAAGACGCCGGACAATGGGCAATCACAGTCGGGCTGTTGAGCACAGAAAAATTCTATCCATTCTTTCGTTGTGCTCATTGCAGAATTTTATTGATTGAAGGATTACTGGTGGCCTGGAGTCCTTTCCAGTTTCACCAGGACAGGTGGGCGAGCAAAGGCTCAGCCAGGAGGGGTGGGATTTGCTAACCGCTGCCCGAGCCCCTCCAAAGGAGATCGAAATAAAATTGATATTAATTATTACGGTTGTGGCAGCCCTAGCGGCCGAGTCACGGACACACAGCCTCCATTGATCCATCAATTAATCCAATAGTTATAGCTATTGTTTAATCAAATATTTTTTCTCACGGTTTAATTTGGCCGCGTCGGTATCTCTAATTACAGAAACCCATATTGATCAGTGTGGACGCCGCCACCCACCTTCGAACTGTTATGTTGGTACAAGGCTTTAACATCATGAGGATTTTGTCTTTTAAATTACAAAGAAACGAATGAATTCTGTTCTTAAATTATTGGATCTATCATGCATTACATGGATAATACCGAATGTATATCAGAAATATACCGACATCCGGAATCAAATCGGACCTAGCAGTAAAATACGTAACCAGGATCATTAATCATTATTCTAATGAAGTAATGAGTAGACAATCTCAGTCTGGTAATTAGCGGCTATCATGACCTAATAGACATTGCAACGTTAGCGCCACTATCTACCATGAGACATGATATTTAAGTCTAAATAGTATATGTCGTCGGCGGCGCCAGGGATGGCTAAGCGGTAGTTTCCGTCATCACTCGTATTTGGTTGAACTCAGTTTATAAAAAGTCAATAAAACCTTTTGAATAATAATTATTGAAACTCAACACACACAACTTTCACAATGACAGGATAAACCGACAATTTCGTTGCACATACCGACAGACCGACTGACTGACTGACTGACTGACTGTCAGAGACTCACTGCTGAGACGGACGGAATCACTGTCTGACACGAATGCCACGACTCTGTCCACGTACCGCCATTTTATACAGTGGCGTTACGGAGTCTACCCTTCATTTTGTGATATTTATCAAAACAACATTTCATCATTTAAAATAATAATCAAAACCACCGTCTTAGTATTACTAAAAGTCGTTATCCACGACATATAATATAAGAATAATTGAATGCTTTTATCTTTTTCGGCAGCTTAAAAATAAATAATTCCAGCAAAAACTAAAAATTACTAATCACTTTCTTGTTTTTTTATGCATAGCCAATATTTAATTCAAGCAAATATATTTATATTTCTGAAATTGTTCGTAATTATTGCATGTCTTATATTTTATATTGATATTGATACACATATTGTCTTTTTTTATTGCTTAGATGGGTGGACGAGCTCTCAGTCCATCTGGTGTTAAGTGGTTACTGGAGCCCATAAACATCTACAACGTAAATGTGCCACCCAGCTTGAGATATAAGTTCTAAGGTCTCAAGTATACTTACAACGGCTGTCCCACCCTTCAAACCGAAACGCATAACTACTTCACGGCCGAAATAGGCAGGGTGGTGGTACCTACCCGCGCGGACTCTCGAGAGGTCCTACCACCAGTAAACAGCAGCTGATAAGTCACGCAGTTTGTCATATACCCACACATTACGTCACGCGCTATTGTTGAAATAAAACAAATAGGTATATTTGCATGAAATAGCATTCTTTGCCATTGCTATTTTATGGGAATATAAACTTTTAAACACGATCCGCTTAGAGAATCTACGAATACGGTTAGGAATATAGAGTTATTGTAATACTGCACTATATTGAACTACATAGTATTGTACAAACATGCTAATAGCCGTTTTTGATTGCCTGTTAATGTAATTATTGCTTCGGGTGTCGACATATGACTTTTCGCAATTATATTTGATAAACAATCTAACTACATGTTAATAGTATTATAAATTATTGTTAAATATTTAATTAGCGTCAATTACAGGTATTTAACATACAAGAACTGTGGTAGGGAAAATTTAAAATGTATTAAAGAAAAAAGGTTGAAAAGTTACCAAGAAGAATTAGTGTGTTAAATTTACATATTTATTGACTTCGTTTATTTTATGTAAATCAATATTAGTACGGGTGAGACAGCAGCCATTACCGATATTCATTTGGGATTTTTGGTAAGATTTTGATCCTGTTTTCGAACGACAGCCTGTATTTCACTAGCCTACTTTTGTAAACAATAAAAAGCCTATCATATTGGCAATAACAAAACATTGATATGGTCATAGTATTGATATGCTACATTCGTCGAACATTCTAAATAACAAGGTTGTTTAACCGATAAAGATACCAAGAAATTTAGTTGCAATATCTAAGAAACGATTCACGTAATCATTTTATTTAAAAGAACTCAAATTAAATTTTCGCTGTGACAAATCAGTAGTATTCGCATAAGGATCTGCCTTGGAGCCTGATCTGCCAAGGAGGTCCTACTGATCTAACCGAGACCTCTAAATACAGGATCAAAAGCCCAAAAAAACCCAAACTCACAACTGACTCACCGAATCTCTTAACGTGAACGTCTCTATTGAACGAGACACGTGGCTTCTCTTTCGGTTCCTTCGGTTCGGGTTCGGCTAACCTATCGCCATTGTCGGCTATTGCCTGTTCGATTTCATCGGTCATTGGTTTCTAGGTACACTCGTACCTTCTTTTCGGCTTTGGTAACTATCAGTTTATATTTTTTCGTTTATATAACATCTGTATTGTGTATCTGCAAAATGGCGTAATTCTGAGTTGTGCTAATTGTTTTAAATTGTTTTGCGGTAGGCAGCGGCTTGGCTGTACCCCTGGCATTGCTGAAGTCCATGGGCAACGGTAACCACTCACCATCAGGTGGGCCGTATGCTCGTCTGCCTACAAGGACAATAAAAAAAAAACCATTGGCGTAGTTACATTTCTGTTAGCTCAATAACTAGCTTAAATTACGAATACATGAGTTAATTTATTGAAATTAAGCTAATCTAAGCTAATCTAATGAATGGAAGTGTTTTTTTTTGTCTAAATGTTATGGTAAGACCATATTTATGACATATTTTGAACAACACCAAAATTTTATTTAGCTGTTATCAAGTCAAATATCGGAAGTATTCTTTAATTTATTTATTTAACTTTATAATGCTGTGTGAATTGATAAATGATTTTATTTAAAAGCGTAGCTACAATTTCAGATGTTCAATAATACTAAGCCTGTTCGACTTGACAGTGACACGGTGAGTACAACTTCCAAAATAACGCTCTCTAGATAATTTTTTACTCTGCGTTTAAATATTCTTAAGAAAAAATGTTTTAGTCTAAATTATCACACACTTTATTCAAATATCAAATCCATTAACATACAAATGAAAATCATAATGTTGATTGCACTATGTATGAACAAAACTATTATTAAGTGATATATTTAAGTAAATATTTAATACCAGCATAAAATACAAAATAAATCTATTGTATACTGACCTGCTGATTTGCTCCTCAAACATGAATCTAAGTGTTCTGTCCGCTATATGATATATAGGGTCTTATACCGCATTTTGCGTCGATTTTCCTGTAACAAAGAAAAAATCTTATTGGATACAAGTTTTTTTTAAACAAATTCAGACCTAATTTATTTTAAACGGTTAACGGAGCCATGGACAACAGCAAACATCGCCGCTCGCTCAGAGTCATTAAGCGATAACCATCCACCTTTGCGACCGCAATTTGTGAAGACAGAATAAGGCAGAAAAGGATGGTGTGATGGAAAAATAGGAATTACGGCTAGTAGAAAAAGATGGGTGGTTAGCTTCGATCAACAATAGTTACTATTGTTGATCGAAGATGGTTAGAAATGAAATCACCTCTACGCCCTGCTTATGTCTTAAAAACTGCTTCTTCATCTAAGGATTTACAGCAATTAGCATCTGTCCTTAAAATTAATTACAAAAGGAGTGAGATTTATTTTTTCTCGATCTTTATGTTTATTTTCTCATTCCTGTCTCATCCTATTCTGGCAGACGTGCAAGTGGATTACACAATTGCCAATAAATCTTCACGCTATGTACTCGAGAATACTCCGTGAGGTCGTCGGCAGCGTGTTGTTGATTGAATTTCAAGCCAAATACTTATTATTAATTATTAATTATTAAATATTAACTTTCCAAATACACCAGTGTACCAGTGTCGAACCCTGCCCTCTAGAGTAAGTGGCACGCATGATTCCACTGGGCCACGTGCGGTTCACAAGTGTAAGTCTTGGCGTAGTTGTGGTGCAACGGTTTGGTCACTGTTCCGATTACAACACAGCATCGCTCGTTTGCAACTTAATGTCCGAGCTTTTTGTGTGGTCCAAGTTTTAAGACGTAATTGAGAAAGATGGTCGTGTTTTTTGAAACATAGAAATCATTCGTGTTGATTTAATGCCTTCGACTACGTTCCTTGAGGTTGACGGTAGCATTTATTATTTGTTTGTCTATACATGTGATCTTGATGAATATCAACATCAGGCACGTCTCTTTGCAAGCGTACTAAATATTTTTAATTTGTATTTAATTATTAAACTACATGCACATTATGAAAATTGGCAGATTTAACGCATAAGGCATTCTCTACCAAATGACCGAAGGTGATACGGAAAGATCGTGATAAAAGCATTGGTTGAATAATTAATGCAAAATAGATGTTTTACTATTTTATTAAACAGGTAGGACCTCTTGTGAGTCCGCGCGGGTGGGTACCACCACCCTGCCTATTTCTACCGTGAAGCAGTAATGCGTTTCGGTTTGAAGGGTGGGGCAGCCGTTGTAACTATACTTGAGACCTTAGAACTTATATCTCAAGGTGGGTGGCGCATTTACGTTGTGGATGTCTATGGGCTCCAGTAACCACTTAACACCAGGTGGGCTGTGAGCTCGTCCACCCATCTAAGCAATAAAAAAAAAAAAACAATAGTACCATCGCATTGTAAAGTCGTACTGTATTTCATGGTTACAATCGAGTCAACATAATTTTTTTACAAGATCACAAGAGTTTATTAAGCTTTACAAGATTTACTTAGTACAAGATGTTTTATTAAGCATATTTCCTATATGTGTAAAAACGATTTCGCCTACGACTTGGACCGAACGAAACTTTTACTCGTGCGTACTTGTAAGCTATTTAGAGTGCTTGCTGTTACGATACAAGTAGTAATGATTGCGTATTTACGATGATTCGGATCGTTAATTAATTATACCGATTTTGCCATTATTAAAAGTACTAAAGATATTTCTGTCGATATAAAAACTTTTTGGATACATAGTGAGATGTCTGGTTGATAATGTTAGGTCGGTGGTACTGCCATAATGCAGAATAATTTCCGGAAGAAATCGTTAGAAAAATAAACAAAACTACGACATCAAACCGCTTCAAGTTAGGATATTCACATGTGTTTTGTGGTTTGTTGGTAGTGAAGACACAAATGCAACAAGAATATGTAGACTACAAACATTGTTTATTTTATTAAAAACCAGCGACCCGCCCTCGCTTCGCTTCGGAAACTGTAATTTATTATTGATTTCTCCAGTATTTAATGGATGTTATTATACATATAAACCTTCCTCTTCAATCACTCTATCTATTAAAAAAAACCGCATCAAAATCCGTTGCGTAGTTTTAAAGATTTAAGTATACAAATGTATATAGGGACAGAGAAAGCGACTTTGTTTTATACTATGTAGTGATAAACAATGTGGCTCCTTACTACTAGGTCAATGAAGCGACACAGGAGTGACATGAAAATCTTTCTGCTATCTACAAATGGGATGCAGATCCGCAGGAACTGGTCGAATGAAATAATCAAACTCAACACACTTCCTTCTTTTACTTTTTATTGCTTAGATTTGTGGCCCATAGACATCTACAACGTAAATGCCGCCACCCACCTTGAGATATAAGTTCGAAGGTCTCAAGTATATTTACAACGGCTGCCCCACCCTTCATACCGAAACGCATTACTACTTCACGGTAGAAATAGGCAGGGTGGTGGTACCTACCCGTGCGGACTTACAAGAGGTCCTACCACCAGTAATTACGCAAATTATAATTTTGCGGGTTTGATTTTTATTACACGACGTTATTCCTTCACCGTGGAAGTCAATCGTGAATATTTGTTGAGTACGTATTTCATTAGAAAAATTGGTACCCGCCTGCGGGATTCGAACACCGGTGCATCGCTAGATATGAATGTTCCGGACATTTTATCCTTTAGGCCACGACGACTTTAAAATAAAACCGACAATTTGTATTCTAGTCTTTATTATATATCAAGATTGATGTGGGTTTTTCGATTGTTTCTGACACTGTCATATTCTATGAAACACGTATATAAAAAAGCAGTTTTCAAAGTCCAAGGTCTTCATCACAATGATGGGGCGTGAGCGGGGGCAGAATGCATATTTACTCAGTATTTTAAGTTGTTATCAATCTAACTATTAATCTAACATCCGATCCTCTAGTCCATATAAATGCGTGGGCCAGTATTCAAATACCATTAGCAAAAATTGTACAACCAGGTCCCCCTGACCTAGTAGTGTAAAGTGGAAGGTTCAGTTTTAGAAATAATAACATTTTAACGCAGCAGGAGAACATGAACGATTGTAGGTGTCACAGTCGGTGCACGTGGGACGCGAGTACACTTGAAGGTCGACCTTTGTTGATGACGAATCTTCTTTGCACTTATGTTTTCCTGGTATTTGCGTAATATGGTCAAGTGGAATTTAATAGATCTATAATAAAAACTCGACAGACAACACTTTTTATACTAACTCTATAATGTTTGTTTGTTTATTCATTTGCTTGTAGACGATAGGTGAACGAGATCGCAGCCTACCTGATATTTATTTATTTATTTAGTTAGGTACATCAAAAGTGATCATCAATACAAAACATTGACAAATTGACAGTAAGTACATGGCAATAGTTGATAACATCATGAAATTAGAAAAGTAAAAATACAATGAATAATTTCAAGAAATATGAAATCCCGAAGAATACTTTGTCGCTAAGCAACACAATATTTAATATCTACACTTATTAGAAACTAAAACTTAAGTGGAAATATAAAGGGATCACAAGGTGATTAGCGCGACTTACCTTGAGACATGAGGTCGCAGTCTCATTTGCATTGTATAGGGACTGCCCGCCTCTCCTCAGCGCCATCGAAAAAAAGAAGTACTTGCATGCGCTTGGAAAGACAGATGGAGCGAATTTACTTTCTAGGTGATGTTAAAAATACACCATTATTTATATTAAGTTTTTTGATCCCAATCTTCTGAAGAATCAGTTCATGAAATTCGAACCGTTTGTTTTTTAATCCTATTTTTCAGCACGGTGTAAATGAGTTCAGGTCTCGCCAGCCGACTACTGGTTATTTAAACTCAAACACACCACAATCCTTCCCACCCAGACCCGAATCAGTTTTGGCGGCACACACATCATACCGATGCAACCACCATAAAAAAACCTTTCTAGTCTAATCTTTTAAGCTCATAAGCTTTTGGTTATGTAATCTTAAAATAGGTGTAATTTAAAAATGCATTTATAGGATTATAGGATGCTGGATAATTACGTAGCGCATCATACAGTTGTAGACCAAGGATTATAAACCAATAAAATACAACAGATGTAATGCTCATTAATAAAATCCTTTGAAAATTTATTACGGTTGGCAAGAATAATGAGGTTATTGTTTAAATTCAAATTTGATGTTATTTGATCGCGTTCATTTGATTAAAACTAAAGAGTAATTTGCAAAGAAGCGTATTTGTTATACGTTTTTTTTTTATTGCTTAGATGGGTGGACGAGCTCACAGCCCACCTGGTGTTAAATGGTTACTGGAGCCCATAGACATCCAAAACGTAAATGCGCCACCCACCTTGAAATAGGCAGGGTGGTGGTACCCACCCGCGCGGACTCACAAGAGGTCCTACCACCAGTAGAACGTAAGGTATGAGAGAGTTAAACGAATAGCTCGTTTGTCCATTTACTGAGATAAATGACTCCTTGCCCTCCCAGGTCTTAGTGAGCATGGAGGTAAACGACACAGTTCATCTTTTCGGTTCTGGACTTAGTGCCAGTAATTCCTAGCTCAAATATACATTTAGACACAACGTAGGGGTATGGTACTATTAAAATCAGCTGACGCAGGGGTCAACGGACTCGTGTGTTGGGGGGGTTCGCAAATTGGACTCCCGTAAGTTTACGCTTTTGTTAAATTATTATAAACTTGTCAAAAAAATAAGCATTATGCTTAGCTCAGGGTAAGAACATGGATTTCCTGTACGGCGTCGGTTGTTCACTGCCACAAGGACCGCAAGTCACACAGAGAGACCACCGGATTGCGAGACTCAGATTTTACATAACCATTATGATTTCCATACAACTTACACAAACTACATTTCAATAGACAATTACGGAATTGTATTACATAGAATATTATAACGCGGATGTCTAAATCCAATATTGGCAATGGCAGCTTGACGAATAGAATTTTCCAAGAACGTTAGGGATATATTGTACATCAAATGCAG